TGCTTCTACGAATCTTTCATATGAATGTTTACGACAGTGAAAGGAATACTAGGAAAGAATTGAAATGAAAGTTTTGTGCGTTCAGAAAATCTTTGCTAAATCAAGGGATATTTGACCACTCTGGCTGCCATGTGGTTTATAGTTATGCTAATGTATTATCTATAGAATGAATACAAAAAACTCGAGAAGAAGGAGCGCAAGCACAATAAAAATGAATGACATAGTTCTGACGCGCATGCGCGTCAGAATGTCCGATGCGGTGCAAAATTTCTGACGCGCATGCGCGTCAGCCTGTCGTCAACGTGTTAAAATGTTGGTCGACAATCCTGCATAAAAGGATAAAGGATAAAGCATTTGCCGTTGATCAATCCCTTTTTGGGATGCGGCACGCATTCTACTTCCATTTGTACATTCGTAGTGGCGTTTGAATGCGATGTGGCCTATACAATGACTTGCGGGGGCCAGCAAGTCAGTGTTTTTATCCTCCCAGACAAGTCTGGTACCAATTAACCGACCCCGGAGGGATGGAAGGCTTGGTTGGACTCACGACCCAGGATTTGATCCCGGACCGCTCGCGTGGTAAGCGTGCCACTTGCCACTACACCACTTCCGCCCAAGGTAATGCATATTCAGATACAGTGGATCTGATAAACACCACTACTCTATTAATCTTTACCGCAATGGTTTCTGTGACTTAGTTTTTATGGGAAAGTTGAGGAATCTATCGTGAAATCAGAGGGTAATAGTTTTTATTTCGTTCTTGAGTGTTCACCTTTCTCATTTTCTCCTGAGATGAATTAGCTGTTGCCAAAAATGAAGTCAATTCCTCAGAGGTCATCAGCTGGAAGAAGGCTGTGCGCATGAAGAAGTCTATGAATGATACCAACTCCACTATGTCTTTCTCATCCTGAAGATCAAAAAACACATTAAAATCACATTCACAGTTATTGCGGAAGATTCTGTTTTGCTCAGAAAACAATTATTAGTTATTGCATGTATATGTATTCTTCATGACAGAGAAGAAAAAAGGTTAGTGTAGTATGACTTTTGGAAGCACAATCCGTTCACGGGTATTGTACTTCGCTTTCCGGTAACTCCCATGCGCCGAAAACTCGTTTCTCGTGAATGGAAGACAACCGCGGGGCATGATGATACGCTTCAAGTCCCTTCTATACTCAGTAGTTTGCAGTTGTTGCTTTCTTTTCCGCGTCACGAATATAAGAGGGGGTGAGGGTTAGCATATGTCAATAAAATATCTGCATGCATAGCAACTCAGCAGAGTAGCGATAAATTTAGTAGCATTTTGAATATAGAGGATAGTTCATGTGAAAGGATTACCCTGGATTTCACATGCTCGTGTTCAAAAATGTCAAATTACAGGTCATGGCAAGCACTTTAGGGCAACAGTGCCAGATCGAATTTTTGAGGTCACAGCGGTTGATAATGAAGTTGTGGATGCCAAATTGACTAAAAATGAAAAAAGAAGCAAAGAAAACCGTCGACGAAGCCCAAAACAAAATTTCCCTTCGAAATAAGGAAGGGGCGGGGCCGGACGAGTTGTACGAACCTGCTCCACGGCTCAACTAACCCGCGCGTATTTGAATTAGCCGCTACGCCGTAATCCACGGTGTGTCATGGGGTACGTAACTCGTCCAAATGCTAAGATTAGTCGCCAAATACTGACTTTGTAAGATGCTAGCGCTACTGTCGCGTAATTTGGACCGCGACAGTGGCACATCTGTGGCTGCTCTTTGCAACCCACTATACAGATCCTTCGACATGACTTCTGCTGGAGGTGTTGCTTTAACTCTTCAAAATTTTGTGCAAATATCTTAGGGCACAGAACTTGAGCTCTCCAGTACAGAGCAGGGTGAATAACGGTTGAGGAATTAATTCCTCGACCATGGCTCTCTACCATGTGAGTAGTGCCGAGAGTGAACATCCGCGCGGAGAGCACAGACGGCACGCGGCATGGCGAGTGTGAATGTCCGCGCGGGAGAGGCGTATAACTTATAGTTCGAATCCGCGTAAGAGTCGTTGAGGAACGATATTCCAGCTCATCTACATCCTCAGGCGATATCACCCTTACAGAATACGCTCTCCATGTCGCACAACTTTGCATAGAGTACGGCGCTTCCTCAGGAAATGCTGAGCGCTGCGACACCATTCGGATGACACGACGCACTGCTCTTTGCGCTGCGATTTGCCGCGCGTCTTACCCGCAATTCACGGCGATTACCGAAAAACTGCGAACGGGTGTTGGATGGGCAATTCCAATGAGAAACAATAAAGAGATTCCTACTAGAGCGATTTCCATGCTCAAATTTTAGAAGCCTTCTTGAAGCCGGTATGACCTCTAGAGTGGATTTGGCCAGTTTCTCTATCATATACTCGTAAAATCGCATAACATATCGCTTTGCTCATCGGAAGGTGTTTTCATACTCTGCGTATGGCTACGTACGTAAAAGCATTTGCCTCAATCCTGAATGAGCAGTGGTGACACTCGCAGGGATCACCTTCTACCAAGAGGTAAAATATGCGGAAACCTCTCTTTGGAATGGTTCTTAACAAGAACTGAAGACATAGATAAATAGGGTACCGACAAGAGGCGTCGCGGCGGTCAATAAAGGTAGCGTCCAGCAACGAGTCTGCGCATCTGCAGCGTTTTCTCGCAAGTTTAAACTTGCAACGTCCATTCGGCCTGTATCACACATCAGCACAATTCAGCGCTTGATTTGGCCACTGACTCTGACTTCTTTTTCCACGCCGCAACAGGCCTCCTGTTGGGTACCCGAATGAATACGGTGTCTTCTACAGAAAACGTGCCAGCGATGACAGGACTAAAGCGCGAAGGTCTTCTGCTGGTCCACGTCATAATTCCAGTCTTACACAACCAAATACATACTCAACAAACCGTCGTTACTAGGTGTCGCCTTCGCCCACCACCCATTAAAAAATTCTCCAAGTTTATTATGTTCATTCCTTCTTTGACTCGTCGAAAATAGTATGTTTGTCCACGAGTGGTCACATCAACATTCATAAGATGTAGCATTTCTTCCGTAACTCTGCAATGGAAACAAGCAGATAAAACTACGTAAAAAACAGCAGAGATATTCAAAGACATGAGGATAGCTGACGCGTCGCGGGCACTCGTACCATCTGCGAAAATATGTAGATTCAACGCCGTCTTCTAGCAAGACAGGCACTCTTCGAGAAAACTGAACTGTGGCGTTTTGCCCTTGACATGGAAAGAGCAGCCTTCAAAGTAAGTGTGAGCTAGATGCTCTTTTTTGATTCTGTCTGGATTCGAGTAAGGGATAAAAGAAGAAGAAAAAAAAATAAGGAGTTCAGGCAGACAGTTACGAGTTCTGTAATTGTTCCACCTATATTAGAACAGTTAAACGTGAGTGTACACATTATTCCGGTTTAGATTGACGGATCGTAAACGACGAAAGGCATCTATTTGGGAAATCAATTCGAGATGGTCCAGTTAAAGCTAAAAAAGAAGAAAAAACCGAGAAAAATGGCAAGAATCCGATAAGGGATTTCTTCTTTGTCCACTGATTTGAGCACTGCCTCTCCCATCGGTGCTGCCCTCTTCAACGTTAACGCTCTCTCTGCTGAATGGTCAGACACGAGATGATGCGATGGGGGGGGGGGGCGTATCGGGCAATAGCGCGCCATTAGGGCGGCAGGAAAGGCCATCTAGGTCGCCGGAACATATCCTTCGATGCAGATTGCGTGTTGGTCCGCCTGTCTCTCCACTAGGTAGTTTCCCTTCTCAATCTTCATCCTCATCGTGGATCCTATACTCGATATCCGAAAGTTGGGGTAGGCGTGTCACCGGAAGTGACGTGCACTTGATAGAAGCTATGTGGATAAGCTGCTTCCAACATACATCGCTGGATATCAGCAAAGCATGCTGGCAACAGCTTATCCCGCAACTTCTATCAAGTGCACGTCACTTCCGGTGACACGCCTACCCCAACTTTCGGATATCGACTGTACTTTAAAGAGGGTGTTAAAATTTCTAGCGCGACGGGCCACCGGTTAACTGCGATTGAGAACTTGAATTTCACATGCAATGATGACAGGTCGCATAAAAATTCGCCTCGGCCTGACGTTGCTGTTAGAGCAAAATTGGGCTCAGGACTACTATTACCAGGAAGTCTCCGTCAGTAACCCTTACAAATAGACTTTGATTAAAAAACTGGTGAAAAAGGTGTGACACCACAGTGGGGCTGCTTGGTGTCACACCTCTTACACCAATTTTTAAGTCAAAGTCTTTTTGTAAGGGTTACTGACGGTCCTAATCATGAATATGGTACTAATTATTCATGCTAACTCCATTTTGCGCGAATTTTGGAACGTCAACTCGAAATGCAAAAATTTGTCACCACGAGGAATCGAACTAGGGACCCCCTTTTCTGGTATTCAGAGGGCCGTTCAGGAAAAATGAACATGGTTCTGTGGTTCCCGCATCTGCCCCTATATCATGCAAAAGACCGTTTTCAAAACAACGCCTTGAACTGCCCAAGACCTTTAACTCGTGAGAGGTCATGGCAGGTGCGGGCGCTATACCGACATATATACCATTTCCACTCCAAAGTGGACCTTATTCAATTGACTCAGGACTTTTTTCATTTCGACCCGGCTTTTTTTCAATGACCTGTGGACATTTTTCATTTCGACCCGGCTTTTTTTCACTGGACCGTGGACATTTTTCATTTCGACCCGGCTTTTTTTCACTGGACCGTGGACATTTTTCATTTCGACCCGGCTTTTTTCACTGGACCGTGGACATTTTTCATTTCGACCCGGCTTTTTTTCATTCATTTAGGACACTTTTCAAAACATTGGTGAGATTTTTCAGATCAAACTGGACACATTTTCTAGAATGTCAAATAACATTTTTCGCTGAAATTTGACTGAAAATTGACGGATGTGCTGAGATGTTCAAATCCTGGAACAAAAACTGAAAATCTCTCATTGGAACTCTAATCTGCCCCATACACGTTTGTTTCAGCGATCCTCTTTTCTTCATCGAACCTTCTCTAGGATCGTCCCGAGTATTTGAATCCCTTCCCTTATGCGACCTTGTTCTTGCAATGTTTCTGTCTCAAGGGATCAATACGCATACAATGGTGAACGAAAGCGCCAAATGTGATCAGGGATGGCTGACTAGGGAAGGATGAAGGGTCGAAGTGGCCATATGAAATGAGACAAGTATCATGGTATGTGGTTTCGGACGCTGATCTCGAATCTTCTTCCCAAATCTGCCAAACGATTCGCTGAACGGAGTTACGGAGGTTTTTTGTTCCCTCACACAGTTTAACACAGTGAGAAATGAGGCCTCAGCAGCAGCGGCTTGTGAAGGAAGCAGTGAGCCTTTCTCATCGAGTGCTGGTGGCCTAGTGGTTAAGGTGGTGGGCTTGGGATTTCGGGGTCAGTGGTTCGGATCCGGCCCTTGTTTTCCATTTTGCATTTTTGTGACTGACTGTTTGGCAGTAGTGAAACATGATTCCTTCATCATTGGTCAGCCCTACTTGCTTTTGGAATGAGTTCTGAGGTCGATAACTTCGAAATTTTTCCTAACTTGCATGCCACTACATAAGGTTAAGGCGCGCCAGTATACGGAGCGCACGCTTCAGCCGTTTTTGAGTGAACGAATGTGAGATCTGTGTTCAAGCAGTCCAATAACTCCTGGGGCCGATTTCTAGAAAAATTCGAGATTTTGAATTAATCTCAAAAAAGTGGGCGAGTCACTCATCGATGCTACATATCCATAGCCGGTAGTTCCAGGGTTGACCTATTTTGGACGACGGCGACCCTTTAAATTTGAAAATAAAATGTGGTGTTGAAATCATGCAAGGAAACCAGACACTGCTTTACACTCTTCAGAAACCAAAAAAAACGTATATCGTTTCAAGGCTATGTAGGCTTCGATGATAGGCTGATGGATGAATGGATAGATACCCACCCAGCCTATTTCGAAATTTGGTCGAAATCTCAAATTTGGCTACAAACTTGTCCTAGGGGTATTTTAATCTCCGGAACACGAATATCACACTTGTTTGCTGCAAAAACGTCTGCCAAGAGTTCTGTGGGCTCCATGTGCAGTCTTAGTGAGTACCGCAGAAACTGATTAGAAACTCTTCGCAAAGTCTTTGCACGGGTAACTACAGGCAAGCATTGATCGAGTAAGGTAGCTGGGAGCCTTTTCATCATTTTGCAGCGAAGGCAAAAAAGAGAACCCGCCAGGGAATCGATCCTACGACGTCTCGCACGTGAACCCGGACTACTACCGCTGCACTACTTTCCTTCATAACTCCATTCGGAAAATCGTTTGGCAGATTTGGAAAGCAGATTCGAGATCAGCGTCCAAAAACGCATCCACCGGTGTAGGTCTCTTTACATATGGCCACTTCGACCAATCATCCCATTCCTGGTAGCGGAGTCATTTCAGGAAAGTGTAGGAACGGTGACGGAGCAGGATTGTGCGAGTTACGTCCTCCACATGATGGTAAATTTGACGACCGCGGCAGCTGGACAGCCCTTCGTTAATTGAACTTGTTGGTTTTGTTCCCCTTGTGTTCGGTTGTAGAGAAATGACCATTTGTTTCACTCGAAAATGTAGTATTTTCTTGACCAAGAAGGTTTCCCGGATATTATTGTTTTTTTTGCGAATTGTTGTTTTGATGTTGAAAAGAATTACCGACCGAAAATGAAGGTGGTTACGCTTCATTTGAGCGGTGTCTGGCTTGAAATGAAAAAAATCCATCTTGAAATGAAGAATGTCTACGGTCATTTGAAAAAGATTCAAGTTGAATTGAAAACTGTCCACGGTTCATTGAAAAAAAGCCGGGTCGAAATGAAAAACGTCCTGAGCTATTTGAAAAATCTCCGGGTCGAATTGAAAAATGTCCACGATTTTTTGCAAAACAGCAACTTTGATTTGAACGATGTCCATTTTCAAGTGGAAATGGTATATTCACTATGTACCTTAACCTTGAAATATTTTTCTTTTCATGCCTTACAAAATGCATGAATTGCGTGAAGTAGTGTCACTAACCTATGTAAAAAATAAACCGAGAAATCACGTACTTGAAATCCGTTGGTCCACTGCAATCAAATTGAAAACGCCAAGCATTTTCGGCTTGTGACTGAGGCCTCAACACAACGGCACTGAAGAATTTCCGAAGTAGGGCGACGGAGCCGACGAAAAGCGGCTAGAAAAGCACCATCAAATACGAGCTGATTCACTGGAAGTGAGAGATCGTCATGTAGCTAAGAAATGGTACTTTCAACCGAAATAACATGGTGCTCTTTAAATGATCCACAACCTATTCATACGTGAGTTTTAACAAATGAATATCCTTTCGCAGTTTCCCGTAACGTCTCGTATCCATCCTGGGCAGTACACGCCCTGTAAATTCCACGTATTCCGATGTTGAGCGGAATGGTGACTGAGGAAGGACGGAAGCATCGTTAAAAAGCAGGACATGGAGCGAATGTAACGCTTCGACCTGATCGGAACTTTGCACGGGAGCCTGGCCTGGAATTTCCAGCTCATCTTTCAATGAAGGAAAGTACCCTGGAAAAACATACCGCTTCTGTCTGACAAAATCGACGGCCTCACGTGGGGTCATTCCACGGAGTAACATCATACAGGCAGCTATCACCATACCCGTTCTTCCATGACCTGCCATGACAGTGAACAGCGACTGTCTTTCCTATATGCAAGCTGGTATTCAAGGTAGGTGGATTGGACTGTCGTAAAGCGCTGCTTACGATCAAATTTGTGGCCACAAGCGTCAATACGGAGATGCTGATGCTGTAGTTGATGCACATGAGAAAAGAGGCAAGTAAAAAATGTCGATGAGCCTTTGACAAGGGTACCAGCAACAAAACAATCGGCGGGCCGGACGAGTGGAACGTAGTCGCGCCCACGGTCCCCATAACGGCGCCGGAATAATTGAACTTAGCCGCCACGCGCGTAATCCTAGCTTTGCGTGCCATGGGTGAGCAGCGAGCAGTACTCATCGCATACGCTAAGATAAGCCCTTGTTCTTGTAAAGCACCTGTTGCCAATTGTGCACACTTTCGAGACGAGGACGGCCATAGTTCTATGATTGCTTGGACGCTACTATGTCCACCCATCTTGAATAGATTTCCTCGACCACGCAAACTTCCGCTGAGGGCGTTGCTTTGAGTCCATGCGAACAACTAACACAATGAAGGGTGGATATCATAGAAGAAAGTACTTCTTCAAAAACAAAAACCTCAAATGCTTCAGTTACAACTCAATAAAGTGATTCTGTAAAAAAGGTATGCTTCCGAGTAGAAGGTCCCAGATCGCACTTGAGGGTAACTGTGGAATCCTCAGGGTTACAAAAAAGAAATTCAAAAGCATTGTTAGAAGACAAGAATCTATTAGCGATTTGAGAAACATTACAAAATTAGCTTACCTCTAGTCAGTTCGTAAATCATAACAGTCACAATATCCACGAGCCGTGCCGGAGTACAAGCTTCGAAATCGGGAAGAGGGAAGTTGTAGTAGAATACTGAAACTTAATGTGCTTTACCTAAAAATGTGTTTACATCAATGTCAACGAATGTAGATAATAAGTCAAACAATTTTGAAGGATTTCGAATAGAAGCACGGGTATGAGATGGTACAGCATCTGCGCAAAAAATGCAAAGAATACGTCGTAACGCCGCGGATTTTGAGACTTGCTTCTTGTCCTCAGAATTACGACGGGTGTTTTGCCGCTCAAATAGCGATTTGTGTAAGGACAACCAACGAAGGAATACCTAGCGCGACAAGGTGTCAAATACGGCTTTTGATACCAAGTGCCAGCCTTCTGGCAGTACATGGCGGATCGCTGTAGGCGGGTGGTTTTGGGTCTGGTGTCGATTTTGTCGGTGTGTCGGAGTTTGCTCTGGCTGCACACGAGCGCAGCTTTCGTAAGTAAGACGAGGTTACATACTTCTTTGCCGCCCGTGTCACTCCTTAAAGTGGATGCATATATCTCGCCCGGTGCGCTCTCTGCTCTCGTACTCCACTGGCTTTGAATTGAGCACGATTTCCCGATTAGCGCGTCCATCGTCTATCCGCAAAGAAAGTCTAGAGCGTGTGCAGTTGATATTTCTCTGCTCGATCCCTTGCTCAATCCCACCGCTACCCGAAGGAATTGTTTAGTTTGTTAAGTAGGATAGTTCCCGAATCCGATAACTTTGACAGCCAACCATCGAATCCAAACATAGGCAATTTTAAAGGAAGCGCTGCTGATCTCAAAGTCGATCGCCGTGAGTGGAAGAGTTGTGATGGTTGTACCCCTTAACGAATAGGCGGGAGCTGACACGGACCTCTCTAGGAGGAACTCAATAAGTTCACTCGCGGCGGCGATTTCCATTAGTATGCTCCCTTTCCGTGGATTGCTTCCAGGCGAAATAAGAGGAGTGTTTGGCTGGCGTAGACACATTCACACATTTGTCGGATATTGTACACAAGAGGGCATAGTGATATTTATTTTTTTTCTCTCCGCCACAAACCCTTTTTCAGGCCGAACACGGATTCAAATCAGCTGAGAACACCACATGGATGCGAATGCATGGCGCACTTTATGTCAGAAGGATTGTTCTCACTTCCTACCTCACTCACCGACCTGTGTTTCGTAGTAGGAGGCCACTCCACAAGACCCGATGTAACCACTGTAGACCGGTTCCTCGCAGCATTTAAAGAGATTCTTATGAAACGGAAATTCAAAAGATAGCTTGCATGATACTTTGGCAGTATCGCAACCAAAAATGGGGGTGCTTATCGTTAGTGAAAGGAAAGGCGCGCGGGAGCTTCTGGGAAGGTAAGCAACAACCCCTTTGGCGTTTCTGCTGGGGCCGTATGCTGAATGTTGGGGAGGGGATGGGGTCTCCGACGGTCGACGGGCTACTTCAACTCGGTCCTTAAAACCGCCTCAATTTGATGCTTACCTCAGGAGTAAGCCTTAAAGAGAGGACGGCCTGCGCTCTCTCGCAGGTTCGTCCTCTCCTTAAAGGAATCTTCCACGGAAAAAGCTCCGCCCTCATTACCACAGAAAACGATACCTTAAAGGAATCTTCCACGGAAAGAGTGATCATTTTGTCTTGTGTGTAGGATTAGTATTATCGAAACTAACGCTTATGTTCCGTTCTTTTTGCTATGCTCATGAGGCTAGGGGCCTAAGGTATCGTTTTCTGTGGTAATGGAGGCGGAGCTTTTTCCGTGGAAGATCCTTTAAGGCAATAGCCTTGAGGTAAGCAAACCAGCCCTTTTGGCGGAGCTGCTGGACCAGCTGCACCACTTGCGTCAGTACTCTCCTATCGTACCGACCGAGTTGAAGTAAACCGTCGACCGTTGGGGATCCCCTCCCCAACATTCAGCATACGGTCCCAGCCGAAACGCCAAAAGGGCTGGTTTGCTTACCTCGGTTTTGGGGGGCAATTTCGAAAGGCTGTCACCTAAAGTTACTGCGAAGAGGGTTTGCATAAAGCGCGCCACTGTAGGATCAGATGACACGTATATTTCGCTCCAAATTTAAATGGAGGTGAAGTGGATCAATAATTGATGAGGAAAAAAGGAAAAGAAATTCTTCAAATCTTTACAAATATGGACTCTTCTTAGGTCCTGGAGTGGAATGTTTCGAGAGACAGACATGCAAGAAATACTAAGCGTCGTGGAGAGGAAAAAGAATCGGTGACAAGAGGCATGGATGCATGGATGGAGGCAGGGAGCCAAGCGAGCGCAAGATCCGCCTTTGACTTCAATTGTAGGGACACTCCGGGTTCTAAATGGAAACCCGCGTACATTTGACGGCCTAGAGCACCTTGGCCTGGTAAATTCGTGCGGCGGAGTCGGACGACGCCGTATGCTTGCTTTCTCGCGAGTAGGGCTTCACATGGCTGACTTAATCATTAATCAGAATCACCTCTAAAGGCAGCGATTACGATAGTTTCTAAAAGGGTTTCAGAGGAGATGTGGGGTGCTCAATGGTACGCCAGTGGCGAAAAAAAAAAGCAGAAAATCCGTCAAGAAAACGCAAAACGGGACCCCCTTTTTTGGCCGTTGGTTTTCACTCATGAACAGGTAACAGCTCAGAAAGTGGACGTATGAACGAGTTCACCGTAACGCGCCATGTAGATCACGGTACCATGCCAAGTAAACGTTGAAATCGAGTTCTCCAGTTGTGTCGCTGCTGGCGACTCAACTCGTCCAAATCACCAACTCAACTAGAGGGAGGAACGCTTTTAGGGTGGAGTGATTTCGAAGTTCTGCTCAGAAAACAGCGCATCTTTCGTCGTGAAAGCGCCACTCCCCGCTTCGACAGCCAAGTAACTGCTTCGTGGTGCACATACTTCCTCGATGCGCTCCCTCATTATCGTATTAACTGGTAGAAGCAAGACAGTAAGAGGTCGTAGAGCATGTGTAAAGAGCTGTAGCACTTTCTTGAATTATTGCTAAACCCCGGTCCCTGAAGTTGCCCTTCCTAGCCGCGCAATTTCGCTGTAAGCAGTGTGTGCACGATAATATTTGGGTACCCCCCAGGAGGCCCGTCGCGCGGCAAGAAGGCAGAGTCGGCGGACGAGTTGCAGCGCGTGGTGTGCGATGTAGGACGTGCAGTGGGACACTCTATTTAACTTGACGCGAAATCCCTATAGTACGCGCGCGACTCGTCCGCTGACTTTGCCTTCTTGCCGCGCGACGGGCCTCCTGGGGGTACCTGATATTTGCCTATCCTTCTGACAAAGGGAGCGAAACTCTCGAGAATTATAACAATTTTCTTTGAGGTGTTCATTTACATACGTAAAATTCAGATAGTGGCGGAGGACTCCATTCAACTCACTATCATTTCTCATGAGGCACTCCGGGTCGTAGCTAAACCCTCCAGCAAGGTTTCCCGATCCACATGAAGAATGCTCTCCGGCTTCTTCGAGATTGAACACGGCACTAATTTTGTTCCTGAACATGCGAAATCTGCTTTGTTGAAGAGTAGGAGGTCCTACAGAAATTAGCTTTCGAACACAGTGGGAGGTAGAATCTGCTTTTGCAGGTCTAAATGATGACAGAATCGAAGTTCTACTCACTCTTTCAGAAGGCGTATAATTTTGTCGTTTTCGAAGTGAGCCGGTTGCGGTCTGGCCATTGCAAGAATATCATCCGTGACCCTCAAACAATAAAATTCAGCAAATAACCAAGTTCATCAAAATAAGTCCACGATGTTGAACAGAAGGGACAAGATTAACTCCAAACTCACCACGTAGAGTACAGCCCAGGAATTGCACTTGTCCCAACGAATATATTGCAATAACGGCAAGCACGGCCCTTACAGTAGAGACGGCATTTTGAATCACCAGGAGTCAGGCTCAATATCACCATTCGAAGTGACGAGTATGTGGCATTGGCTAAAAATGAACAGCTTCACAAGAATGCTGGGTTGTGAACGAACTGCGGCCAAAAGCAGCAGTTAGCAAACAAAAACAAGTCAAAATGAATAGCATTTTTTTGGCAAGGGTCCCCAAGGCCGAGTGTCGATTAGAAGGCTTTAACTAGCCTCGGTGACACTCAACCATGGGCAGCTGTCGCGGCCACACTTTTAAAATTTTTGCTACCACCCCCGCACTCCCCCTCCCCGCTTAGGGGTCTTGATGAGACCCACCACCACCACCATAAGCCTTGGGAGGTTCCTGAGATCCCCTTAAGACAATCCTGCCTCTACCTCTATTATTAATGAGTGTACTTCAGTCGTAAACAGGCAAATTGCCACTTTTCTTCCAAAGGGGTGTGTCGCGAATCGCGAGGTTCGCTCCCATGGTTTCCCCCGGGTGTGCTGGCGCCTACCGTAGTTAGCCGCCATGACCCCTCTCCTTTGACCCTACCACTGTGATCGAGCGGGAAACCGCAGCCACCCTGTGGCATCGATCACGGTGGCCCTGTCTCTTCTAACACCTTCGTCTCCCCCGTGCGGTCGGGATATTCGCCGCACGGCCTCCCTACTAACGTCCCCCCTGTCGTCACTGTCCTCCACCGTCGACTCCCAGCTATTCAACTAACGTCCCCCGGACTAACACCGGAGGACAGTGCTCCCCCTTTCGTCGTTCCATCATGGCGTTGCGGCTACGATTAGGGCGTGGGCCCTTAGAACGTCCTGTGGAATTCTGCTGTCCGGCGATTCATATAGTCCAGCGTCCGTGGCGAAGAATCTACCAATAGTCGAAAGTCCACGACCAATCAATACAAGAGGATTGCAGGCCCCCGAGACGGAATCGTAGGTTCTATTGATCTGTTACTAACACATAGTTCAGTTGAGTCTTTTAAGACTTCATAAACTTACTAGCACGGTGTTCTGTTAGTGTAAGAGAAAGGTTACACATCCTAGTGTTTGTGAACTGTCTTTGCTGTGAGGTATTAGTTCAGCGGTTTACGCCTAACTGATAGTACAGCGGGAAGGTAGGCAGGAGGTGGCTAGGTGCGCAGTCCAAGGCTTGCGACCCGAGGGAGGGGAGAAACATCACACGGGGAAAGGCTTCAGACTACTAGTTCATCGGCGCCTATATACGAGAAGTTCTTTCCCCGGCGCTATCCTGCACGCGGAGCATGGCCGGCCCCCATTGCTGCGACCTGGTTGCCATCGCGCACTGTCAAGGATCGTGCCCGTTCAGCTGTTATCGACTGATCATCGAATACAGTGCAAAAACGCCCTACCACTCGCTCGGCCTGCAGGTAGCCCCCTCCCGCGGAAATACAACTAACAGATTTAGATAGTTCAGCGCGTGGACACACTATAGCCCAGAAGTCCGACATAGACTAGGTCACCATCCGTTCGAAGTTTCTCGGATAATCGGTCAGTCTAGACTGTGGCAACTAGGCCAACTTGTTATCCACGCGCGGAGAAACGGAGAATGCAATACCTAGGCAACTCGGACTAAGGAGGTTGTAGTAGTGGCTGATGGCAGATAGAGCCTGCGCCTTAAATAGCAGTTGTGCGTAGAAATTGCGGCAACTGCTGGCCTGTACTATCGAGCAAGGTGAGGTATTACAGGTGGACCGCAGTTCTTATTCGGTGAAATATCCGGATAAGATGAGCAGCATGGGTCGACCAGCACGCTAAGTAAGTCCCTGAGGGTTAATAGGGCGCACCAACAGGGAGAGGCCTCTCATCTCTTCTACCATGCAGATTGGCCGTCTGATGAGGTAGGAGGGTGCGGTGTTATGCGGAATGTGGGCTGCTTGCTTGACGGTGGCTATGACACTCGGCGGTTCCAGTGTTACCCATCGGGAAGTCACCCCCCCCCCCCTGAGGCGCTACAACTAAATTAGGACGACCACTTGTGTCAGTCTTCAAACTACTAGTCGTGATTCACAATGGCAGTCCAGATCTTGTACATGATAACATCGTTGCAA